TGCACTCAACACTAAGCTCTGCACTCGGCACCTAGCCCGCCTTGGAAAACCCCTCTGCACTCAGCACTAAGCTCTGCACTCAGCACCTAGCCCACCTTGTAAAACCCCTCTGCACTCAACACTAAGCTCTGCACTCGGCACCTAGCCCGCCTTGGAAAACCCCTCTGCACTCAGCACTAAGCTCTGCACTCAGCACCTAGCCCACCTTGTAAAACCCCTCTGCACTCAACACTAAGCTCTGCACTCGGCACCTAGCCCGCCTTGGAAAACCCCTCTGCACTCAGCACTAAGCTCTGCACTCAGCACCTAGCCCACCTTGTAAAACCCCTCTGCACTCAACACTAAGCTCTGCACTCGGCACCTAGCCCGCCTTGGAAAACCCCTCTGCACTCAGCACTAAGCTCTGCACTCAGCACCTAGCCCACCTTGTAAAACCCCTCTGCACTCAACACTAAGCTCTGCACTCGGCACCTAGCCCGCCTTGGAAAACCCCTCTGCACTCAGCACTAAGCTCTGCACTCAGCACCTAGCCCACCTTGTAAAACCCCTCTGCACTCAACACTAAGCTCTGCACTCGGCACCTAGCCCGCCTTGGAAAACCCCTCTGCACTCAGCACTAAGCTCTGCACTCAGCACCTAGCCCACCTTGTAAAACCCCTCTGCACTCAACACTAAGCTCTGCACTCGGCACCTAGCCCGCCTTGGAAAACCCCTCTGCACTCAGCACTAAGCTCTGCACTCAGCACCTAGCCCACCTTGTAAAACCCCTCTGCACTCAACACTAAGCTCTGCACTCGGCACCTAGCCCGCAGTTGGAAAATCCCGCCTACCTACCAATAGCAGCCTGCCCTGACCACAACCTGCTTCCCTGCAACCAATCAAACGCCTTCACTCCCTATTAAACCCCCCCCCCAGAAGAGTCAGGTGTGACTTCTCCGGCCTCTTTCCCCAGGACCACAGAACCTTACCTGGGAGCTGAATAAATTGGCATTTAATCTTTTTGTGCTGGCGTCAGTTTCCTCATTTTAAACTCAGCGATAACCCTTACATTGGGGTTCTACCATCCTGATGAAAATATCCCTGCCTGCTCTTCTGCATATTGTATTCCTATCACATTCCTGGTTTCACACAACTGTCTGTAGTTGGATTTTTCTTGATGATCATTAACAATCTGTTTCGGCATTAGGTGTATCCTCTTTAGGCAGGAGACTCTCTTGAACCTGGGAGGTGGAGGTTGCAGTGAGCCCAGATCATGCCACTGCACTCCAGCCTGGGGACAGAGTGAGACTCTTGTCTCAAAAAAAAAAAAAAAAAAAAAAAAAATGGAGACAGGCCTACAAGCTTTTGGCTTGTCCAGGTTTGCACAACTAGTGAGGGCACAGATGGAGGCAGGACCCATTACTTGATTCCAGCCAGTTCAGTGCTCTTTCCATCTCTCTCAAACACTTTGTCTTCTTTCTGCTCTTCCCTGGCCCCATTCCCCAAAGCATCTTTTAATCTCTGGGGCCTGATGTGCCACTACATACAATGGCTTTAGAAATGTATATATTTGAGGTAGGGGGACTTTTCAGATCTACAATTCCATAACTCTGAAGCCTACTTTTAATATAAGATTAATTATCTTCTGGGCTGGACGCAGTGGCTCACGCCTACAATGCCAGCACTTTGTGAGGCCAAAGAGGGAAGATCACTTGAGCCCAAGAGTTCAAGACCAGCCTGGGCAACATAGTGAGAACTGGTCTCTACTAAAAATAGTTTTTTTCAATTTTTATTTTTTTATTATTTTTTATTTAAAGATGGGTTTTTTTTTTTTTTTTTTGAGACAGAATCCCACTCTCACCCACTCTGTAGTGCAGTGGCGCAATTTCGGCTCACTGCAACCTCCACCGCCAGTGTTCAAGCAATAATCACGCCTCAGCTTCCTAAGTGGCTGGGATTACAGGTATAGGCCACCACATCGGGCAAATTTTTGTATTTTTAAGAGATAGGTTTTCACCACGTTGGCCAGGCTGGACCTGAATTCCTGGCCTTAAGTGATCTGCCCGCCTTGGCCTCCCAAAGTGCTTGGATTGGAGGTGTGAACCACCGTGCCTGGCCAAGGATGGGCAATGTGTGTGTAAGAATAATAACTTAATGTAATTTAAAATATATATGATGTAAAATATTGAGATCATTTTTTTGTTGGCAAAATAAAGTTCCTGAGAGTCTCAGGCTAAAAAAAGTAAATAAATGTACACAAAAATCACTAGCATTCCTATACACTAACAACAGTCAAGCCAAGAGCCAAATCAGGAACTCAATCCTATTCAAAATTTCCACAAACAGAATAAAATATACAGGAATACAGCTAATCAGAGAGGTAAAAGTTTTCTACAAAAAGAATTACAAAATGCTGCTCAAAGAAATCCATGATGATAGAAAAAAATGGAAAAACACTCCTTGCTCATGGATAGGAAGAATCAATATCATGAAAATAACCATACTGCCCAAAGCAATTTATAGATTCTATGCTATATCTATTAAATTACCAATAACATTCTTTACAGAACTAGAAAAATTATTTTGAAATTCATGTGGAACCAAAAAAGAGCCTGAATAGCCAAGGCAATTCTAAGTAAAAAGAACAAAGCTGAAGGTATTATGCTACCCAACTTCAAACTATATTACAACACTAAGGTAAACAAAACAGCATGGTACTAGTACAGAAACAGAAAGATAGACCAATGGAACACAATAAAGAACCGAGAAACAAGGTCATACACCTACGAATATCTTCAACAAAGCTGACACAAGCAATGTGGAAAGGATTCCCTATTTAATAAATGGCACTGGGATAACTGGCTAGCCATATACAGATTGAAACTAGACCCCTTCCTTACACCATATAAAAAAATTAACTCAAGGTGGATTAAGGACTTAAAAACCCAAAACTATGAAAACTCTGGAAGACAACTGCCTAATATTAGTAGTAGGCAATACCATTCTGGACATAGGAACAGGTAAAAATTTCATGAGGGATATACCAAAAGCAATCACAACAAAAGCAAAAATATACAAATATAATCTATTAACAATTAAAGAGGTTTCACATGATAAAAGAAAATACCAACAGAGTAAACAGACAAGGTCTAATATCCAGCATCTACAAAGATCTTAAACAAATTTAAAAGAAATAAACAACCTCATTAAAAAGTGGGCAAAGCAATGAACAGAAGCGTTTCAAAAGAATACATACATGTGGCCAACAGGCATATTTTAAAAAGCTCAACATCACTGATTATTAGAGAAATGCAAATCAAAACCACAATAGGATAACATTCCACATCAGTCAGAGTGGCTACTATTAAAAAGTTTAAAAATAACAGATGTTGGTTAAGTTGTGGAGAAAAAGAAATCCTTTTACACTATTGGTGGGAATGTAGATGAGTTCAACCATTCTGGAGGACAGTGTGACAATGCTTCAAAGACCTAAAGACAGAACTACCATTCAACCCAGCAATCTCAATCCTGGTATATGCCCAATGGAATATAAATTGTTCTATTATAAAGACCTATGTATGTGTATGTTCATTGCAGCACTATTCATAATAACAAAGACATGGAATCAACGTAAATGCCCTTCAATGGTAGACCAAATAAAGAAAATGTGGTATATATACACCATGCAATATTATGTAGCCATAAGAAAGAATGAGCTCATGTTCTTTGAAGGAACATGGATGGAGCTGGAGGCCATTATCTGTAGCAAACTAATGCAGGAACAGGAAACCAAATGCTACATGTTCTGACTTATATGTGGGAGCTAATGATAAGAACACATGGACACAGAGGGGAGCAACACACACTGGGATCTATCAGAGGGTGAGGGTGTGAGGAGGAAGAGACTCAGGAAGAAACCTAATAGGTACTAGGCTTAATACCTGGGTGACAAAATAATCTGTACAACAACCCCCCACAACACAGTTTACCTATGTAATAAACTTGCATATGTATCCCTGAATTGAAAATAGAAGTTAAATTTTAAAAAAAACCAGCTTGCCTGAGAGTGATAACAATAATTTTTATCAATCTGTACACCCTCTTTTAGTCAAGCACAGTATCTTTATAATGTAACTGATATGGACTTGAGGGAAATACTAGTTAGAAAAGGATGGAGTCCCTGGCCAGGGCTCCACCCTCAAGCCTGGACCTGTGGTTCTAAGTGAGAACACATTACAGATTTGGAATGTGAATACTCTGAACACTGCTCTTTAATTAATACAACAAATACTTATTAAGGTGATATTGTGTACAGACAGTGTACTGGAAGCTAACCACACGAGGGCCTAATTTTCCACTTATGTTACATTTTTCCTGCACTTCAGAAGCGTACAAAGTAGTGCTAAAGAAGTAGTACTGTGTGCCCAGAAGTAATATAGGGCGCTACCCTAAGCTTTACAATGTAAACTGACTTACGTTGCACACATAAACTACCACTTTTTGAAAAATCATTGATTGTTACATCTCTCAATAACTGTTGGAAATCTCCCTAGGTAACCACATGAGGGGCTATACTTCTACTTATGTTAGATTGAAGACATTGCATTAACTGAAATCAGATGTATCAATTCTTTGGACTTTACAGTTCATAGTAATATTTCTATCATATTATATGTGCCCTGAACTTTATTAAGAAAATTCAAAGGCTTTAGGTAAGACATACTAAATCTTATTTTCTCGTGACCTCCAGTGAATACTATATAAAAATAGCAGCTTCCACATTCTGTTTCTATTATGTCACTTTCATTTTCCTCCAGAATCCTTCTCATTCTCTAATTATCTATTTTTCTATTGTCCATCTACTCCAGAATGTAGACACCAGGAGGCCAGGTGCCTGGATCAGTTCCTGGAATTCCATAAACATTTGCAAATAAATGAATGAATGAACAACCCTTCCATCGCTGCCGAGATATGAGACAAACATTTCATATTGCCTTTGAACTGCACAAAAGGCAACATACCTGCTATAATATTGTCCAGCAGTGTTGTAGGCATGCAGAATATGCCAACTAGTAAATCACTTATGGCCAGGTTTAAGATGAAGAGATTAGTGACTGTGTGCATATGTTTGTTCCTCATTACAATAAAGCAAACCACAGTATTTCCCACCATGCACAAAAAGAAAATTAGGAAGTAGGAAATAATGAAGATTGCTGCCACTTGAGGCTGGTGAAGATAGTAGTTCACATAGGTAATATTAATATCTGAGTACAGATGATGCTTTGTGTCATTGACACTCCAGATGGGATGCCAGTTTTCTGAAGAGTTTGAATCCCATGTCTCATTCATGATGAACCTTAACAAAGAAGAGACAGAAAAGAAAAGCATAATTAGGAGCCAGTAGAACACAAATTCTGTGCTTGAGTTTAAGAGGAACATCCATAAAACCCCATGGAATTTTATGGTCTTTCTATAATAATCTATAAGTTTTACATGAAATTGAATTATAAATAAGGCACTCAAATTATTAGGATTTTAACCAAGAGCATTTGAAAATTCCAATTTGTGTCATAATTGTTATTATTATATTTTATTTCTAATGCACTCTATGTTTCATTTCTTTAGGCATGCACTCTATCCATTTCTCTTGCCTTCCAAAACTCTCCTTCCCTCTACCTCCAGGTATCATCTCTCAAGACCCACCTATTAATTTAAAGCTAACTTTCATGCCTCTAGCTTTCCTGATAATCTGAACAAGATATGATGTCTACATCTTTGAAACCCCTAAAGAAATAAGCTTCTTGTATTTTCCGTATTCTGTTCTGACTCAGTTAATTATTTTTTTTTTGCAGGAGTTTCATTTTGTCACCTGGGCTGCAATGTAGTGGGACCGTCTCAGCTCCCTGTAACCTCAATCTCCCAGGCTCAAGTGATCCTCTTGCCTCAACCCTCCAAGTAGCTGAGATCACAGGTGCATGCCATCATGATCAGCTAATTTTTATATTTTTAGTAGAGATGGAGTTTTGCCATGTTGCCCAGGCTGGTCTTGAACTCCTGAGTTCAAGTGATCCATCCACCTCAGCCTCCCAAAATGCTAGGGTTACAGGCATGAGCCAATGCACCTGACCTGAATATTATTTTAATATGCTTCTGTATGCAAACACAGCCACCATATTTTGAGTCTCTGAAAATAGGGCTAGGTTACTTGTCTTGGTTTCACTTAGCATAATTCTATTAATACACAAGGTATGCATAACAGTATAGGAAGTGATCATTATTTAAGTTCCCAGGCTCCAACCAAGGGCCAACTTAGCAAGCGGGCTTTTCTAAGGGTAGCAGCCTCCGGCCTGCTTGTTGTCTCTTTTCTGCACACCTTGTTAATTAATTGAACAGAAGGTTATATGTGCCCATAAATGGAAATTAATTTGATAGTGGGCTTATACAATTGACCTCCCCACACTGTTAGTGTGTTCCAGCAAAGCATTATAAATAACTGCTTAAAGTAGTGGACAAATGTTTGAAACAGGATAGTCAACATTGTCGGAAATTATCTACCCACAAAACACTTGTAACTTTCAGTTAGAAAAAACTGGGCAAATACCACCTTAGTTAAATGATCCAAGATAACATTTTGGATAATGGGATGCAAATATATTATATGCTCCTTGATGTAATGCATGAGAATTTAACATCAGTTTAGCAAAATTTTTGCCAAAAATGTATAATCTTATCCTGAAGAAATATCAGACAATTTCTAAATTAGAAATATTCTATAAATGTAAAATATTTATATATTTATCTACATTAGAAATGAATGAATGCTTGTTGTCCTTAGCTATAAAATTTAAACTTCCTACCACCTATGGTCAGCAGCATAATGGCTTCCCAAGTATCTCTGTCCAACTCTCTAGAACTTTGGAGTAGGTTAGGTTACATAGCAGAGGGGAATTAAGGTTGCTGATCAGCTTATCTTAAAGTAGGATATTCTGGTTATATAGGCAGGCTTAACGTAATCATAAGAGTCCTTAACAGTTGAAGAGATACAGAAGCATCAGTATTAGAGTGATTCTAGGTGAGACCAACTTGATGGGCCATTGCTGGCTTTACAAATTGAAAAGGACCATGAACCAAGGAAAGCAGGCAACCTCTAGAAGCTGGAAAAGAAAAGCAAGAAAACAAATTCTTCCATAGAAACTAAAGCAAGAAATGCAGCCTTGCCAACATCTTGATAAGCCTAGTGGAAACCATTCCAGACTTCTGACCTTCAGACCTACAAGGTAACAAATGTTTGCTATTTTAGACACTAAGTATGACAACTTGCTACTGCAGTAATAGGAAACCAATACACCACCTATCCAATTTTTGTAGTATTACCTGAGATCTTTTCCTCATATTTTCTATAAACATAGTTAAGAGATTGGAGTTTTCTTTAGTAATTATAACATTTATTTTTTATTCTGCAATTGTATTTGCTCAGACATATAGCTGTATTCTACATTTACTTTATTTCGATGCTTATTTCAATATTTTAATAAGGTAGCTTCTCCATGTATTAAATTGTCTTATTGCATTTAATAGTATTATAAGTAATTACAGTGTGTATTTAACTACAAACTTCTCACGAAGTTTCCAATTATTGTATCTGCTGAGTTAGTACATATATGAGACCAACTCCTTATCCCATTGACATGAATAACAATCTATGTACAACATATTTAGATCCCACTATTTTTTGCTCATATCCTTGCAGATGGGCTCCACTATTTGTTGGAAATTTTGGTACAAAAAAATTAGAACCCAATCCAATATTTGTATTTTCTTATTTGTGCTATGCTTTTTTTAATCTATTGTCTAGAAGAGATTTTTAATCCTCAAATTTTGTTACCTATATCAGCATATATATTTTCTACTGATTTTTTTTTTCTGAAAGAAAACAAATCCTATTCAATTTCCATCTCAGTACTTCCTTCATGTCAGAAGTCATTAACTGTTCCACTGTTATATTCTCTACTATGGATACTTATTTTCTATATGTTGATATGCTATATCCCATCTTTCAAAAATTATCAGTTTCTAATAATATTGATTTTTCTGTTGAAGATTTTGCTACCTTTACAAACAGCATTTCCATTTTGTTATGTCATTTTATATACTGTATTATAAAGTATATTCTGTGACAGTAGAGACCAGTCCACAGTTAAATTCTCAGTATCTAAAAGCATGGTCGAACCAATAATTGGTGCCCAATAAGTATTTATTAAATGAATTAATTAATCTCATTATTTACTTTTTGTTTCATAGATTGTAGATTTTTCTTTTGTAATTTCTTGTTTGTTAATCATTTCTTTTCTCAAATTTTCTTCCACTAAAGGTACCTGAATGTCTTCTTATAATAACATAGGGTTTAAAAACAGTAGGCTCTGGAAAATAATTGCCTGCACTTAAATCCTACATCCTGTTTTCTATTGGTATTTCCTGGAAGATGGCTGCATAATTAATACCTGTGTGGCTTTGAGTAAATTATTTAATCTGTTTGTATTTCAGACTCCTTATCAAACAAGTAAAAATAAGTATACAAACCTCATAGGGCTGTTGTTAGATTTTCATCAAATAATTGTAGTTAAAATTTATTATATGCTTACCAAATGTCAGACTCAGTGTTAAGCATTTTTACATGCATTGGTTCGTTATAGTCTCATGGTAGGACAGTCAAAGAGGAAACTGAAGCAATGGTCAAATTAACTAATCTGCTAAAGGTCACACCATCAGTACAAATCAGAAGCGGGTTTCATTCTATGCAGCTCTGCTCCAGAGCACATATTTTCAACCTCATAATATAATTTATATAAAGCAAATAAAAGGTACATAATTCAGAGTAGGCACTTCGTGAATATTTCGTATTATTTTCCTTTCCGTCTTCTATATGTTTTTCACTTTTCCCCTTCCCTCTTCCTTCTTTTGCTCCTTTCTTCCTCCCTTCTGGTTTTAAAGCCATTTTTAATATATCTCAAGTTACTCTTTTGTTACCTTACTCATACTGTGTTTAGGGCTAGTGCTACCAGAGCACAAAGTATGTGTGGTGTGCTTTTTATTTCTTCCTTTTTTATTCATTAATGTTAACATCATTCCTTCAGAAAGTGATCTCAAGGACTGGGTACCAAAATTACTTCTATTTTCTTTCATCATTGGATTCCTGAAGAGGGTGGCAAAGGGCTAGAATCACATGGACATGCCATCAGGGAAATACTTCACTGTACTCTTTCTTGGAAGTGAGGGGAACATCTTTTGTTCATTCATTCATTGATTTAATAAATATCCACTGTGTTGACAATGTGCTAGGTACTGTTCTAAGAACTGGAGAATATAATAGTGAATCAGACCACATCTCAGCTTTCACTGTAATGAGGAATACAGATACTGGTGTTTTTAAGCGAGCTTACAATGAGAGCCAATTGTGAACATCTCTGCCCAAATGCACATTCAGTGATATTATGGTAGCTGTTTGAAGGTGACTGTGATAGGAATATTCACAGCATCAGAACTGGCAAAACTTTAAAGATGAAACCTCTTTATTTTTAATAATTGATTGTTGAACATGTATTCATATGCCAGCAGATTGAACCAAAGCATCAAAAGAAGAAAATAAATGTAAAAATGAGGATCATTAGGAAGGTTAAAAAAGAAAAGGAATTAAGTGACTGCAACTAAACTGAAAAGAAGCTATGACACAAACAAAAGAAGTACAGTAAATGAGGAATGTAGAAGGCCAGGGTGACAGTATGATATGAAATTATAAATACGCCTGCACAAAACACTAATGCCTGTAAAAGAAATAAGCCCACTATTTAAATGACTGTTATGCTTTTACACCTCAAGTGAACTGTTTATAGGATTCCCTCTTAATTTTATAGTGTCAATGAAATATTTTCTTCTTGTTTTTTATTTCAAAAGTACTTTTTTTTCTTTTTTAACTTTGACTTTTATTAGGTTCAGGGGGTACATGTGCAGATTTGTTACATGGGTATATTGGGTGATGAAGAGATTCGGGGTAAGAATGATCCTATCACCTGAGTAGTGAGCATAGTACAAAATGGGTAGTTTTTAGCCCTTGCCCCACTCCTTCCCTCCCCCTCTAGTAGTTCCCAGTGTCCATTTGCCTCCTCTTTATATCCATGTGTAGTCAAATTTAAGTGAAGATTGTAATTATCCCAGCGTCCATTTGCCCCATTTTTATATCCATGTGTAGTCAAATTTGTGAAGATTATAATTAAATAATCACCTTTAGAGTGGAATTCTACTCAATAGTATAAGTTTGGAATATAATATATTGAAATAAACATATCTATAAAAGAAATA